TTCTGGCGTTCGACGCTTTGGTGCGAAAGTCCGGACAAAATGGCGAACAAGGAGTTGAAGTTCTGGCATTGTTTGCACGCCGTCGCGACGCGGATCAACTGCTTCACGCTCTTCACGCGCTTTTGCGTCGAGTTCGCGGCGAACAGGATTTGATTGATTGTCCAAAACATCTCGCGATTCGTGCGCTCTTCGAATGCCTTCAGTTCGAGGCGTCGGTCGTCGCTCTTGTCGTCGTTTGTCGTCAAGTCGTAAATGAATTGTTGGCTTTCGATGCGACAAAAGAGCGCGAAGTCTCTGTCCATGAGTTCGCGCGCAATCGCGTCGCCGTCCAACGACAGCAGAGAGTTGTCGTGCGACTCGCGGCTGATCTCGCGCGTCACGTCCGCCTCGTTGTTGGCGGCGGAGGGCGCGGTCACGCACTTCAGGTAGATTCGCGAATCCAGACTCAGGTTTTGCACCAAATTCTGCGAATTGTCCGAAAGGCGCTTCACGGCAGACGTCGCTGTCGTCGTGGGCGTCGTCTTCGCTGTCGTCCTGTCGTTGTCTATCAGTTTGTATTCATATAACGCGAAGTCTCGAGAACTGAAACTCGAGTTCAACTGAAACTCAATTAACGCCAATTGAATGCATTCGCGCGCAGTCGTCGTCACGTGAATCGGCAAATACCGAAAGTCCGACTCGTAATAGATCTTCAGGATCTCAGGCGTCGTCTCCGGCGACGTCTCTGTCGTCGTTGTGGTCGTCGGTGTCGTCGCGTTGTGTTTGTTATTTGTTGTGACGTTTTGTACGATTTGTCGCACTTTTTGCTTCCAATTGTTGTTCGCATTGTTGGCCGCGACGACAGACGACGACAACGACTGCGACGACAGCTGTTGTATGGGTTTGAGAGAAGCGAACGACGCGTGAGTTGTCGTCAAAGTCTTCGCGTCGTTTTGACTCAAGTGTCGTTTCGTGTCGTTTTGTCGCGAGTTTTGACCTAAAAATAGACAACAATTAACGTCACTTGTCGTCACTCGTCGTGCTTACCGTCGAGGAGCGCGTGGAAGAGATTGGGATCGAAGCGCACCAAAAGCGACACGTGAGTGGAGGAGCGGCAGAGTTGGAGCGCGCGCGACACTTCCATCACGTGACAGTCCACGCCGTTGATTGTGATCACGCGATCGCCTCTCTGCAGATCGCATTCCTCTTCGATGACGTCATCGACGAAAAGGCGTGACGAGCACTCGTAGCCGCCAATCAGCGAGAAGGGCAGCGGCGCCGCGCGTTCGCTGCGGGTGAGCGTCACGTGACGTTCGCGCGATTTCGACGAAAGCGTGAAATAGAAGAGCTTTTTGTGGAGTTTGTCGCGAATGGCGGCGGAGAGCGCGCGCAACAATGCTTTGTCGCGGAAGTCGTGGAAATGGTTGGAAATCCAGAACAACGAGATCTTCACGTTCTTCTCCACATTCCTCTCGTTCTCCAGATTGTCGATCACGCGTTCCAACAATTGGCGAACGCTTTCCTCTTTCGGGCCCAAAAAGAGGCGAAAAGTGAGCAAAAAATCTGCGATAAAACTCGTGCTGTCGTCGAGTGTCGTCTCGCACGACGACGAGTTGTCGTCCGACGCGAACAACAGCTCCAGAAGACGCTCTTTTGTCGCGCGAATCAATTCATTGTTGGTTTGGTTTCGAATTTCGAGAATCTTTTCGTTGTTTTCGTCGAAAAGCGTTCGAAAAGTCTTTTGTCCGCAAATGTCGTCGAAAATCACGTGCGGAACACATAAAACCCAAACGAAGTCTTCGTTCGTGAAGATCTCGCCGAAGACCACTCTGTCGTCAAGACTGGCGCCGAATTCGTCGCCTATTGTCAGGAATCGCGTTTTGGACGCCTCGGAGACGACACACGACGACACCCGCGACGACACGCACTCGCCGTCCACGCAATCCACGCACGAGTCGTCGTCCTCTGGCGTCGTGTGAGACGACGTGTGCATCACGTGTCGCAACGAACCGCACGCGACCACACAGTAGGCGTCGAGTCGCTCGCCGTGAGTGAGCACTCGAGTGTCACGTGACTCGATCTCCGCCAACACCATGTGTTTGGCGAGAAGACGACGCGTCGCGTAGTCCTTGTCGTTGAGTGTCGTTTGTGTCGTCTTTTGTCTCGCGATGAGCGCCAAGAAGTCGTGAATCAGATCCAAGTCTTCGTCGGAGCGGTTCTGCGAGTCGCGGATCAGAGCGTTGCGAATGCGGTGGAAGTGCTGTTCGTTGGGAAGCGTCTGGAAGTCGTCGTCGACGTCGTCGTCGTCGTCGCTGTCGTTCCTGTCGTCCACTAATGACTCTTCCAATCCTTGAGAAGAAAGCGATTGAAGAAAAGGTAAACAAAGCCAAAGGAATAACAATACCTTCGAAATCAAAAACACGCGAATTGTTGGACGACTGCAGAGATGTCTGAGAATTCGCCGAATTTATGGAAATCGAGTTTCGGTTCGCGTTTTGAGACATTTTCGACGTTTTTGGTCTCGAATTCGGTTTAATCTCTCATTTCGTGTTTTCGTTGCAAAAGTCATGCGCAATGAAGCGAACACAAATTACGTCGAAATTTATTTTTATTATTTATATTCTTTCGGAATTTCCGCTAAATCTTCGGAAAGTGTTATCGAATCGAACGAAGAGTTTCTGTTCGAAGGATTTCTGACCAAAAAAGCCGTCATTTCGTCGCGAGAGTCCCAAAAGTGCGGGTTTTGGTGGAAAGGAATGGAATTCAAGAAAATCCTTTCATTCGAAGGAAATCTTTGGAAAACAGGAAAAGAATCTAAAAATCGGAAAAAGAATTCATTTTTTGTTCGAATTTTCGTTATTTTTACCGAAATTCCCGAAAAGCGAAAGAAAGGCGAAAAAGAGGAGAATTTTCATGTTTATTGAAATTTAATTAATTCTTAATTAAAAGTCATTTCCTGTCATTAGTTGTCCACAAATAACGTCAGCGAATGTCTTCCTCTTCGGATCACGAGATCTTCTAAACTGTTTTCCGAAAACTTGTTTTCAAAACAATCGTTTGTTTTCTCTTTCGGGAAGAAAACCAATTCCTGTCTTCGCGGCGGCGGCGGAGGGGGTGGGGGAGTGAAAGGTGGGGGCGGCGTAAATAGCGGCGCTCTGACCAATGGCCGCGATTTCCCCGCCTTCTCCGCCGGGAGAGTGAAGACCGGAAGCGGTCTCTCGTCGGCAGCAATGGGCAAACAAATGGAATCCTTCCTCGCGTTCACAACAATGTCTTCCAAAGTGTTCTTCTCGTAATTCTCGACACATTTGACGCGCGAGAAAAGCGGCAAAGAATCGCATTTTCGGTTAAACTCTCCCGAAATGTCTGCAAATCGAAAATTCGGTTAAAATTCGGAAAAATAATTCATTTTTCTTTACTTTGAATCAAAAGAAAACAAAAAACGATTTTTTTCAACATTTTTAATGAGAAATGACGTCAAGAGTGACGAAAAGTTTAATTTTATTTCTTAGTTGTCGTCTCTTCCGCTTCAGTCGTCGTCTCTGTCGTCGCAGATGTCGTTCCTGTCGTCCCGTCGCCAGAAGTCGTCGTTCCGTCGCCTGTCGTCGCGTCGGACGACCCGCTGGTCGTCGCCTCCGCCTTCGCGTCGTCGCCGCCTCCGCCGCCCGCCACGCATTTGGGCACATTGTCGACCGCCACTACACAGACAACCAATGAGAGAGCGCACAGTGGATCACGTGATACTCACGGACGGGATCGTCGGCCATAACGATGTACGTGTCGTCGGAGAACGGAATGCGCGCGAAAGGAATCATCTCTTCGATGGTTCTGCGGAACAGCGGATTGGGAAACACGCGCACCGGCTTCCGAGTCGTCGTCCTGACCAACGGCCGCGACTTCCCCGCCTTCGGCACCGGCGGCTCCTCCCTCTGCGCGCCCCCGAAGTCCTCGTCCCCACCCCCGCCACTGGGGGGCGCCTCCGGGTCGTCGTCGGCGTCGCGAATGCAGTCCTCGTCGTCGCGCAACGAGAACTTGACCTTGGGCATGAGAATGGCGCCCCTGACCACGTCGTGGTAGACGTCGTGCGACTGTTGGTCCAGAATGTCGTCCAAATCGGGAGAAATGTAAATCGATTTCTTCGGCGGACGTCTCAACAGCGCAGTCGCAGAACCGGAAACGCTGTTCGGGCGCCGGAAGTCCTCTTCGTAGTCCAAGGCTTGGTTCGCATCAAACGATTGTTCGCTAAACACTAAAAGAGACAAAAGTTTCAGATTTTACTCGAATTTTATTCAAATTCTGACCAAAAAAGAGACAAAAAATTAAAACGGATTTTGAATTCATTTTCTCGAAAAACAGATGTTTTTTTATTTCACAAAAACCCCAAAAGTCGTCCCAAAAAACCCTAAGGAGCGCAAGTCGTCGTCTTTGGGCCGCAGTCGGGGACGACGATCACGAGCGGGTCGTCAATGACGACGACGTTGACGTCGAGGTCGTCGGGGACGTCGCGCACCAGGTGTTCGGGGTTGGGTTCGCACGGGCGCTGGACGGGGACGCGCAGACCGCAGCCCTTGGCCATCGGTTGTCGCCATTTGCCGCGCTTTTGGCCGAAATGGCTTTTGTGGAAATGCGAGTCAAAGGAAAGCGATTCTAAAGAGAGAAACGGTTTTTAGAGGAAAAGAAAACCCGTTTTTCGAACCTTTTATGAGAAGAAAAACGCAGAAAATTATTACGAATTTTGAATTCATTTTTAATGTCGAAAACGAAACGGAAATTAATAAATGACGTCAAAAATGTCGACAATTCTCGCATTTATTCGAAACTGTGGAATATTGCAGCGATTAATAAGTTTCTGAACTTAAGACCAAATGTCAATCTCTGGCTTCACCCAAAGAGTTCTTCGACAAATGGGCGCAAGTGTTCAAGTATTCACATTTCTAGTCAGTTGCAATATTCACTATATTTTAAAATTCAGTTTTAACAAAAACTTTATGTTAAAACAAACATGTTCAATTTAAGGTATACCTCAACGGCATTTAATATCGTTGCGATGGCCGGACAACAACAACGAGCAGGAGTTGGGAGCACTCGACCATTGTGTCCACAAGAGAGTTGTTGTTTCGGGGAATTGAAGCCCGAAAGGGAACTGCAGTGACACGTGTCCACCTCTGACACCGGGAACACAAATTAAAACACGCTTTTGTACTCACATACTAAATAAGTGTTAAAAACTGAATAATGTATTAATAAGTATTTGCCAACAATTTCATGCAAATTATGGTAAATGTTTGTTATAAATAAAGTACACTTAAAACTATTTCAATATTTAACTCATAATTAATCTTTATTATTATGTTTTAAGAAAGTTTTAATAATAATTTTGAAAATATTCTATTATAAGTATTCCTGAATGCATAAAAAGCAAAAATACAATCTGATTGTAAGTGATATTGAAATCGTTGAAAATATTGATTGTGTTGAAAACAATTCACACGAATAAAGCAGAGATTGACCAAAGATTATACAATAAGATTGCAGTGTCTGTTGCTTTTTGAAGACACAAATTTATGTTATAATTTTAACTTTTAATTATTTTAACTCATTTTTATCGCCAAATGATGAGTAAATGGAAGATATTTGAAGTGAAATCCCATTTATGTTTTCATAAACAAGTGAAATGTGTTTTGAGACACTTCTCCTGTTTTCAGACAAAACAAAACTGCATTTCTTATGAATGCAAACACTCATTAAGAGATTGGATTTCAATTGTTTTATTAAGTTTTATATTAATTTTAAATTTCATACTTAAATATAACTCAAATGATAATAAATTCAATAATGGTTTGTGACTATGAAAGGGAAATATTATTATAAAGACAAACATTTTTGTGACTGATTTTAGATTCAATATTAGATAGAAATCAAAGTAATTATAAAAATTATAAGAGAGTGAGACGACAGACAAAACAAGACTAATAGAGCAAAAGCAAAAATTGAAGACATTTGTGACAGCAATGAATGCGAAACTTATGATTATACAAACAATGACACGTCTGTTTCGTGCCATGACTTCTATGATTACGTTTGCGGGAAATTCACCAAAAGTACAGTCATTCCCGAGAATCAGGTCTCCTGTGCTGGAGAGACGAAAGACACAAATATTGCGTGAATTGATTGAATCTCACAAACGGTTCAAAGTCCATCAAATATGCCACCAATTTATGGATTCATGACTGATTTTGGTATTCATAATATAATCATTGTTTTGAATATTATGCTAAAAATTGTTTTCCAACAGCAAAACTAGAGTCTCGAGAAACCACTAATAAATGCATTGAATTCAATCGGCGGATAATTAATACCAAACACTGTATTCAATGGCAAAACATGGTTTTCACGCCCTGTCTCTAGTGATCGCCGCCTTGAGTTCAATCATCGAAATCGGTGTTCAGCCGGACATTAGAGACAATACAAAGAATATACTTTACGTAAGTTTTGGGTATTTTAATATTTGCAGAAATGATGCCCAATCTTGTGTACAGTTGGGTTCGGCGCCGGACCTGTCCTTGGAGTGGAAGCGGAATCGGCGAAACCGGACGCGTCTTATCATCATTCCCACCATTGCTGACGATAACATGAATTCAATGAATAAAAACGCGAGTTTGTGTCACAGTGTCTCGTAATAGACAAAGACAGTGTTCGCGCTCTTCAACAAAATTGATGAGTTGTTTATGTTTTCCTCACGACTCGAAAGCGTAAATTGTCTCTTCATTTATACTTATTATAATTGAAAGTAATTTAATTGTTAGATTCAAACCGAAGAGACGAATCTGGATATGGTTTACAACAAAATGACAAACAATTGAATGCATTGTCAATAAAATGGATTGGCTTTCACTCATCAACAACACCGCATGAGTGCAAACGCGCACCAAAGACGACACCTCATTGTCACTGATATTCAGTATTTTACAAAATTGCCGCAAATATGACTGAAGACACCGAATAGAGTGATCGCAAACTTTTTAGGCTTTTCTTCAGATGTTAAGCGATTATACGATCAAAAAGTTTAGGCAAATGGACTTTGAATTGCAGAAGTCGTTGACAGGCATCACAACCGAAGACTGGAAACTATGCGTTGAATTAGTGGACAATGCCTTTCGCCACGTGTAGGAAATACATTGAAAACAACTTTGATTTGAGAGCCAAAAGAAAAGTTAGTTGCAAAAAAGGCTGCAATTTTGTTACAAAAATTAAAATTTCAATTATGCTGTGTTTGTTGTGTGCTTACAGTCAACAGAATTAGTGAAATAGAAAAGCGTTTTACAAATCGCTTCAAACGAATCCAGTGTTGGAGAAATCGACGCGAACCATGACTTTGGCTAAAGTGAAACAAATGACCAAAAATATCGGATATCCTGACTGGCTATTCGATGACCGCACTCTCGACAGTATGTACAACTTGGTCAGTAGTTATTGGCACTAAAAGTGATTGCAATTTAGTTCTTAATTCACAGGACATAAAGACAAAACAATTGAATGCATTTCTATTGAAGCCGGAAATACATTGAAAAGTAGTTCAAACACTTATGAACGCAATTTTAATGTCGAACGGAATTAATAAATGAATCAGTGTTCGCGCGGATTGATGCCTTTATTCACTTGGTTGTGGAAACTGCCCGAGAACTCCGTCTTCCCGTCCCACTCCTCTTCCTCTTTGCGCCGGAATCCCATCTTTTCGAACAAATATTTCCAAAATTCTTCACTTTTTTGTCTCAAAACCCGTTTTCTGTCAAAAAAGTCGACATTTTTTGCAATTATCTCTGAATTCGATTCCATTTCAGAATTTTCTCCAAAATTTTCGTTCATTTCTCCGAATATTTCTGAAAACTGAAAATTTTAGTCATTTTTACGCTTTTTTGTCAAAACTTACGAAAAATTAAACAAAAAATGAAAACAAAAATTATTTTTTTCGACATTTTTCGCCAAACAATCGCTTCGAACGACATCTCGTGAAAAACCATTTTTATTTCGAATTCTTGGAAAACATCTGTTTTTTGATTCCATTTTCGGAAAAATACAAAAAACAGATGTTTTCGCGAAAAATGGCGAAAAATTGGACAAAAATTTCGCAATAATCGCAGAAATGACCGAAAAATGAGATTTTATTCTCTTTGAAAATACAATCGATTTTTGGTTCGAGAATTGAATCAAAACTCAAACCAAAACACAATTCATTATTACATAATTCAGTTGAATCCGCTGATTGCCGCCATCGCCTTCTTCCGCGCCTCTCTGTCCGCCGCCGTCTCTCTCACGTTCTGCTGGTTCGCCGCGAACGACATCACGTGACCTCTGCCGCCGCCGATCTCTTGCATCACTTCCGTTCGCTCGCGATATAACCGGAAGTCGCGTTTCGGGAACCCGTTGTCGAAGCGCTCCACGAATTCCGCGCGCAATGAATGCGCTAACAATCAATGCAAACGAAATTCAATTCAAATTCAAATATTTATTGTTTTTACCGAAAATGAGAGCAAAAGTGGAAACAAAAATAAAAACGAGTTTTGAATTCATTTTCATTCAAAAAACATCTGTTTTGCAATTAATTACTCTTTCGTCAACAAAGTCTCCAAAATGGACGAGTAGTCCATTTCCCCCGCGTTCGCCTCCACGTCCCGCACGCGCCACAGCCGTCCCCTCTTCCTCTGATTCCTCAGCACTTCCTCCTG